CACATACTTGGGCCTTTCTCCACTACTTTCCCATACATGTCGGCAGGGAGTAGAGCAGCCAAGAGCTGGATTTGTACTACACTATGGGTGCTCACATTACGAGCAAACTCACCAAGCCACAAAGCCAACCTGGTGTCCCCCTTACTTAGTCGTCACTGCCTTTACTTTAGTTTCGTCACCTACTTAGTTTCCCCTTAGTTTGTCACAGCCTCTCCAGTAGAAATGTTCAGATCACTCACATTTTATGAAATTATTATTACAACTGGATTTATACAGGCCACTTTCTTATTCATTTCCTATTTGCATGTCTTCTTTCTGTTTCTCTTCTCCTTTACTGCTTTGTTGGAAAATATTTTTTAGTGTGCTATTTTAACTGCTATTTTTTGTAGTTATTTTCTTACCAACTTAATAATTGCTTTAGAGATAACATGTATCATCATTTATCACATTCTTTAAAATAATAAACAATTCAACATAACAGACACTACATTTCAAAATATGTTCTTGCCCTCCGACTATACATATATTTCATAGAGAATTATGTCCAATAAAACAGTGTTAGAAATTCATATTTATCTACATATTTGCAATACCACTTACTCTTCAATTTCTTTCAATCAATTCAAAATAACATCTGATGTCACTTTCTTCCCATTGTTGAAATTTAGCTTTGTTATAAGAAGCTTAGTAGCAAGAAATTTAATCTTTGTCCAAAAATGTCTTTCATTCACTTTCCATTTTTAAGAATAGTTTCACTGGATGCATAAGGCTTGGGATGATCTTTTTTCATTGCTGTTGCTTTGGTAATCTGAAGATGTGATTTCTGACCGCATCCCTTGTTTTCAGTGAAAAGTTAGCTATTAAAGGTATTATTTTGTTTCCTATGTCATCAGTTACCTTTTTCTTTGGTTTGCCAATGTCCGTATTTACCTCTGACTTTCAGCAATGTTAAGTATCGTGTGTCTACTTATGGTTCCTTTTGTGCTCTTCTAAAGGTTGGGGTTAGTTGGGCTTCTAGAATTTGCAGAATATGTATTTTATTAAAGTAATTTTGGCTTTTTGACCATTGTTTATCCAAAAAATTTTTTGGCTCTGTTCTGTGTCTTCTCTCCCAGGTCTTCCAGTATGTATATGTAAATATTCATGTGTATTTTGTCCCACAGTACTTGGAGGCTGTTGATTTTTATTTAATTTGTTTTTCTCTGTTCTTCGAGGGATATAAAGTATATTGACCTATCTTAAATTCACTAATTATTCTGCCATTTCAAATGTGCTCTCAAGTCCATCTGGTGACTATTTAATTCTAAAATTCTGTTTGCATTTTAAAAAATGTCTCATTATGGAAATTATTTTCTGAATCTTTGTTGTCCCATTTTTCTTCAATTCTCTTTTATTGGCTTAAGATATTTATTTGAAAGACACAGTGACAGGGAGATGGAGAGGAGAAGGAAGACAGGGAGAAGGAAAACAGGGAATAAAGGGGAGAGAGAAAAGAAAGGAGGAGACAGAGGAGAGACAAAAGGGAGAGAAGGAAAACCAATGAATATCTTCCATTTACCGGTTTACTATCCAAATGGTTCACACAATCAAGCTTTGGTCAGGCAGAAGCCAGGAGCCTGGAACTTCACCTGGATCTACAATATGGATTGCAGGAGCCCAAGTATTTGGCTATCTTTGGCTGTTTTCCCAGGCACATTAGCAGGGAGCTTAGTGGGAAGTGGAACAGCCAGTACTCAGACAGTGCTTTCATATGGGCTGCCTGAATCACAGTTAACCTGTTATACAATAACACCAGTTCCTCCACTTAATTCCCTAAACATATTTTCCTTTAATTCTTTCAAAATAACTGCTCTGATTATCTTTGTGTGGTAAAAGTTACATACTGAGACACCTAATAATTAAGATGCAGTTTCTACAGACTCTCTTTTCCTGAGTATAGGTCACATTTTTGTTTGGTTTTTTGCTATGAGCATCTCCATATTTTTGTTGGACTTTTTAGATAACATACTTCAACAACTCCAGATTCTGATTTTCCCCTGTAGTTGTTTTAATCTTATTTGAGTAACCCAATGTCTCTTGAATTCATAATCTCCATTATTTTAAATCCGATTTTAAAAAAAAACAGTGTTACTCTTACTGTTCTGTTGGGGACTGGTTAGAAATCTTCTCTAAGCATTTCAAACCAATAAAGCTCATTCCCCACTGTTAAAATCTGTATGTGGATAGATGAGCATACCTATCTTTTACAGATATCTGCCTGGTTTTATTTCCATCTACTTCTAAATCAAAACTCCACTGGTAAAGGTTGGCTGGACGCCCACCTTGTTCTCTACTGTGCATCTGCACACCTCCTGTCAACTGGGGTACAAGGGGAATTCATTAAGCACCATGAAACCCCATTAATGCCCAAGTCTGTTGCATGACCCAAATTGGATTACCAGCTAAGACTGGCACTCATGCAGTCCCGCAGTTCACTTACCCTGAAGATCACTATTTTAACCTAAAATGTACCATGCCAAAATAAAATGATCCCTCTGTAGTATGGGCAGCAAAGCTGCTGGCCGTAAAAGTCGGTCCCATCCTGGGTGAAAACACCCAACAGAGCCGGGAATAAGAAAATGGATAGGCGAGTAGCACTAGAGAAAAACACTGTGCACACTAGTACTATTCTCACCTTAAGATCACTAGTTCCATGAATAAATACCTTAGTGTTTATTACTGATTTCCAGAGCACCAAAATGGCAGATTTGATAAGTTTTGTCCAGTAGTCCACGTTCAATTTTGTTGTTCATCTTATGCTATGTGTGGCTATTTCCTTTTTTGTTCTTTTTGTTGCTGCTGGGAAAAGCTGGTTTTGTCCATGTGTTTGTACATAGGGTAAAAAGGAGTTGTAGATTCTCCTAACTCTGTATAATATAAAGAAGCTATAAAAAATTACAACAGAAACAGGCAAAAGTCATCTTTATAGACTGTTTATTCAGTCCAGACACTCCAACATATTAGGGTACCTGAGAAAGTTTATGGACCAAAAGAACGGGGAAAAGCATTTGTGAGCAACCTATCCAACAAAGAATTAATAGTGAGAGTATATCAGCAATTTTAAAAAAACTCAACAATTTTTAAAAATCCAGTTTAAAAAAGGCCAATAGATCTCAACAGAGCATTCCCCAAAGAGGAAAGTACAGATGGCCAACAAACATATGAAAAAATGTTCAACATCACTAGGTGTCAAGGAAATACAAATCAAAAAGACAGTAAGATACCACTTCACTCATCAGAATGACTGACATCCCAAGACAGAGAGTTAACAAATACCAGTGAGGGTGTGGAGAATGACAAATATTTACATGCGGTTGGTGTGAAATAGTATGCCCAGTATGGAAGATCAGCATGAAGATTTCTTAACAAACTAGAAATAGATGCCATATGATCCAGTATTTATATTTCTGGCTATGTATGCAAAATACAGATACCTGCTCCACCATGTTTATAGTAGTACTGTTCACAATAGACAAAATATGTAATGAACTTTTTGTCATCAGATGAACAGATGAAGAAAATGTGCCATATATACAAACAGAAAAAATATTAAGAAGAATGAAACTCTACCATTTTGTAGCAAAATGTATACAAATGGAGGACATCATGTTGAATAAAATAAACAGGACACAAAAAGATAAATATTGCATGTCTTCCCTTATATGTGGGAACTAAAATTGAAAAAAAAGAAAATCAAAACAAAAAAGAAATGTCTGTGTGTATCAACATTGCTGCAAATATAGTTTTATCTAACTAGGTTTTACACCTTTCTTTGAATGTTATATTACTATTATTTTAACAACTTGTGATTACTTTGAAATTCACTGCATTTGGGTGAAACAGCCATTTTTCTACTTGATTATTGTTTATAACCCTCACCTATATTTCTACTATACTAGAGCATTAACTCAATGTAAACTGAAGACAGTTTAACATTAAAAGTTTGTGGAAAAGTTATTAAATATTAATTTTGGTAAACAAAATGAAATCCAAGCACATTGGGGGGGGTCTTCAAAAAGTTCATGGAAAATGTATATTGTGAAGAGCTATTCAAGGATTTCAAAAATTTTTTGTACCAAAGTTCTCTTTCTCCTACATTTTTCTATAAGCCTTATGAAGTATCATCTTAAGTATATGAATACAACACTAAGTAATATTCAAGTTATGGTAGATGAAAAACGGGTGAAAGAAATGTTGATGGTTACTCTGGAGGTTTTGAAAAAACTACTATGGCTAGCATTTCATGTAATTGAACTTAATATTGTTCAGAGAACAGGGTCAAAATGAAGTAGTATTATTCTGAGTTGAAAGCTATGACACATTTAACAACTTTAGCTGAAACAACTGAACTGATTCTCTATAATGTATTGACCCTAATATAGATAAGGTAATCATATTTTAAGAGTATTTGTACAAGAGACGGACCAGAAACAATCAGAAGAGTGTAGATGGATAAAAGATAAAATTATCAGAAGAAAATTCAAAACATACAGTAAAGATTTTATACACCTTCTTAGTCACAATAATTAAAGGAGTAAGTCACAGAAACGACTTCTAAAAGATACAGGTTTCATAGCATTGTTGAGTTCTGCATGACAGCCATAAGCTGATTATTCTACCAAAGTTATTTTAAGTCAAAAACACTATCCTATCATTTTCCCAAAGTTATGAGCTACAGCCCTAAATACAAAAAGCTGAAGGGAGAATAAAAGACAACTAAAATGAACAAGACATGGAGATTATTACATAAAATCAGCCTTTACTGGGATAAAGCAAATAGTACACAACAGAAATTTATAAAGATATAAAAGACCCAAATAAGGTAAGTTCAGATTTGTTCACCAAAACGTAGAATGTGATTCTTGGACTCCAAAAGATACAGAAAGTTTTCTATTCAGAAGGTAGTAAGATAATCTGCTAGCACCAACACAGGTCACACACTGGAAACAGGAGCAGCTTACCTCTTTGAGTTGGTCAGCACTTCCCCAGGACGCGGAGCGCTGGTGTGATGACCTCTTTTCTCCTCCCTCCTCTGCCCAACAGCTGGGTGTCTTTAAAAAAGGAGGCAGTGTGAAAAAGAAGGAATTGTGTCACTATCCCTAAATTCAAGCAATTATAACATGCTTCAAATTCTAAAATATATTAGAATGGAACTATACTAAAATCATGTAAATGATGAGATTTTCATCATGTGGAATGCTCAAAACACTTGTTAAATTCTGAATTACAAACAACTAATCAAAGCTGTCAACCTTGTTTTTAAAACACTTGATACCTTCACATGAACAGGACTAGTGTCTTAAAGTTACTAATTCAAAGAGAACTCATATTGGTGTTTAAAGATAAGTACAAAACTAAATATGAAATGGTACTTCTACTTAGTATGACACGGTATGAACCGGACTCCCTCACAGTGACAATATAAACAACTGACATATCAACTGTCTACCTCTGCAGAGGACTGATACTTCACTTTCTGAATTCAGGAAAGAGAACAGCATTACAATATCAATTGAAAAGAAAAAATCAAGCACCATTATACAAAAGCAAAGTTACAAAGTTGAAAGCATAAAAAAAGCTCCCATAAATATAACATCAATGAACTGAGCTAAAGCTAAAGAAAATTGAGCTACATATTAGAAAGCATAACCACTTTTACCTAAGACGTCACTATCCATTATTAAGACAATACACTAAAAAATAATATAAGAAATCCCAACTAGTGCCATAAAGCACTAATACCAATGATCACCTGAAACTACAGCAATTAAATAATATCAAAGTTAACATTAATATATGAGAAGACTGCAATGAGCATTAGGGAAATTAAAAACCACTATTTAACAATCAAAAGTAAATGATTATCACAATAACCATATATGGCTTTAAAAATTTTTTATAATACATAAAGGGAAAACAACTTCATTTCTGTTGAGGCCACACTTGTGAATCGTGTAATATATAAACCGTTATGAAGTTCTCAGTTCTACTTTATATAGCTCAAAATTCTTTGGATAGAAAATTAGCATCTCTTAAAAAAACCACATCCCAAAGTGAAATCTGTAACAACAGAATGCTAGCTGAATACAGACATAAAATGCTTGAACCCAACTCATTAAATCTGAATATTTAAGTAATATTCTGAATTTTGAATTAGGAAAATAATACAACAAAAAAAGTTCCTTCATTTTATGTAAATAACAGCCACTTCCAACTGGCCATTCTGTCTACTTACTTAGACCAGAACTTCAGAGGAGTGCTATCTATAATGATGGATCCACTGGAAGTTACTAAGCATTATAAAAAGAGAGAGGTTTCAGGGTCAAATAAAATTTGGGAAAAATTTTGTAACGCCCCTCTACTCAACGTAAGAGTCAAATCAGTATTTTGAGAACACTCTCACAACAAACTACTCAAAAACAAAAAACAAAAGCAAACAAAACAAAAACTTGGTGACCTTTCCCTATTTATCTCAGAACACCTACTCTGCAAGCATGCTCACTAACGTCCTGTGATTTGCTCCTCCACAGCCGCATGCGATCAGTATTAGAATTTACTGTTCACAACAGCTTGTTCCTCAGCCACTGCTTCTAAGCGCGCTCCTCCTTTCTACTTTCCACCCCTGGCCTACCAGGAACAGAAAATTAACTTTTTGCATACTTGAGAAGTGCAGAATTAAAGACTACCTGTAAGACTGCTCACTGAAAAACGGTTGTTTAAAAAATAAATAAATAAAACTTTGTTTTTTCTCATCCCCCAGAAGTTTCAGAAGTCCAGCCCATTAACCTTTCATTCTAACACAATGTCCATACTCTCAAATGGCTTCCTGCGTGAGGACCCCTCTGAATGAAATATAATCCTAATCCTGCTAGCACAGGCTCCAAAGTGAATCTACACTAGAGAAACTACTTTTGGTTACATCAATTAAGAAGCTTAACATATTGATCAGTTTGTCATTGTTTATCTTTTCTCACAAGCCAGCAAGGGTCAAGCTTCTAGGCCAGGCACAGTAACTCTCATCAGGACAACACTGTCAATATGCGAAAGGTTAAACTCCCCACCCCCACCAAACAAAAAATCCCGGAAAACAAAAAGTTAACTGCTTCACAAAATGCTTTTAATCCTATTTAAAACCTTAAAATCTATTTTTCAATGGTCTGTCCATGAAATTTAGTCTAATTTACAATCTAATATGCAGGTATGACTACTGACTGCTGATTATTTTAAAATAATAATATACCATAAATAACTCTAGCAATAAGTTGGATAGGATTAACTGAAAGATCAATAAAATGTAAACAATAACCTGATCTGAGTGAAGGATGAAGGAGCACAGAAGATTATGATTCTAACATTATTATTTGCTTTTCTGGCTACAGTGATACTCAGATATAAATAGCTGCTTCAGCTAACAAATATATAAAAGCCAATGTTTAGCTGAATAAAAACAATGTGAAGGTTAAGACTGCATTTGTTTTATGTACAACAGAGCCTTTTAAAAAGTGTTTTTAAAAAATTCAGTGACAATAACAGTTACGTGCTCAAATTTTCATTAAGCTCCAACTATATACCAAGTTTGTGTTCATTAAGTTAGCCCATTTCTAGAAACAGTAGAAATGGACCTACTAATTTGAAGAGCCATTTCTTATTTGCAGGATTTCACAGTAGATGCATAATAGCTACTTTCCACTGAATGAATTCTGACCTACTAGAAATAATTTACTGAATTTCAGAGCCCTTTTCTATTCTAGTGTTATTTCCATCATTTGTATATCATTTCCTATCAGTTCAGATTTAATGTTTATAGTTGTCTAATCACTTGTTGACACTACTAATAACTTTTACTACCCATCAAACTCAGTATTATTACACTTAAACCTATTTGCAGTAAAACATGGATTCTAAATACAAATGTTGCTAACATTTATGGGCATTTATTATGTCCTAGCACTGTGCAAGAAGCGTAACACAGATTATTTTATATAGTCCAAAATGCAGCAGGCACTCAGAAAACTTTGCTCTTTGTTTATACTATTTCCCAACAATATGTTAGCTCCTATATCATTCACTTATTCATTAGTTTAAGGGAAATAACTATTAACACCTGGAGAAGTACAATGTTTACTCATCTTAGATCCTTAACAATGATCTACTTCTAAATTGTGATCTTGATTCCATCATCTTAATTCTTAAATCATGCTTCCAACATACACATGGGTTTTGCACTAAGTGCTTTTAAATACTGCCACAGGTTTTCCAATGGAAAAATTATGGTTATCAAACAGAACAAGTGGAGAACCAACGTGCCAGACAACAAACGTGAGGGAACCAAGCTAAGAGTAATTATTTGAAATAAATATCATCTATTTCATAGTTTTATGAAATCCAACTTAAAGGGCAAAGCTGTGGAGAAGAGATGAAGGGAAACAAGTTAACTTTGGTATTAGTGACATGTTTCTGGTAAAGGCAGGAAAACTGTAAATAGGAGTACTGGAAAGATCCTGCACTACACACCCTTTAGTTTTGCCCGAAATGAACACACCATCTCTTAAAAATTAATGATAATTAATATGAATTCCTGATAATCTCAGAGAAACATTTAAAGCTGCTGCATAAAATACTAAGCACTGGAGTCATAGACTAAAATATTTTCAGCAAGGCAGCTAAGTATATCATTTTAGCAACCAAAAACCTGACTTCTTGAGACAGAAACAGGACTACCTTGGTGGAACTATTCCCCGCTCTGATCCTGTAGTTACTCAGTATCTCACAATTGCATCACGGGTGAAAGGAAAGGTGGCCGTGCACTTACTTAACAGCCAGTTAGGAACAAGTTCCACAGTGCCTGAAATGCAACTGAAGGGGCTAAAATGGCCTAATCTTCAATCTTGCTTCAATTTCACGAGGTTCCCCACTTTCAAAGTGTTTCAGCAACCATTGCTGTTTGGATTTTAACAGCAATCTCTTCAACAACAACACAGGAAACTCAGTTTTATCAAGTGTAACTTTTGACCAGGAAGTGAGTTTCTGATCTGAGTGGTAAAAGTGAAAGTTGCCATAATATCTACTAAATGAAATACATGATCTATTTCTATTTCTTGATTAAGTTCTCTCCAAACAAGCTCCTTTCAGGAACAAAGGAAAAAGCTGAACATTTCATTTCATTTCAAGTCGACTTCATTGAATATTAGCTAAGGTCAAATAGTAGCTATTTCAACTTTTTCAAAAATAAAAATAGATTTCTTACATAGAGGTAAGATTATAAATTCCCCTATACCAAATCCTGATAAAATTAAGAAGAACTTAAAAACTATTTAATAAAATGTATGGTATGTTTTGTAGATCAAATATTTAAATTAATTTACATATGAATACTCATTCATGGAGGTGTTTAATCAAAAGAATAAAATGGTACACTTCACATATAGAGATAAATGAGAAATTTTATTTTACCACTTTGATTATGAAAAAATATTACCCCTAAAAAGAAAACATGAAGACTTTTGTCTAAGTTCTAATGAACCCTTAGCCCTCAAAGAAGCTAAGCTTTAAAATTCTATGATAACAACTGAAAGAGATCAAGGTTATGAAAGAAATTACACTTTTTCTGAAGAGCTACAATTTCATCTATAAAATTTAGATCCAAGTGACAAGCTAAGATATTTACAACATGCTAGAGCACAGAGCAAGTAAATCTTACAAAACCTTTCTAGTAAGCATATTAAAAATTGTAGAGAAAATAAATTCATACTTTATTTTTGAATATTAAACAAGTACTAATGATTTCATTGCCACTGTATTTAAGAACTTAACTGTGATTACCTAAATGCAATCATGACCTAAATACTAATCTATTAAAAAAAATTCATCATATATACGAATTAAATCAAAACATTCCAAGATGAAACAGCATTCCTGATTAAATAAGAGAAAAATAAAGCAATGATTTATACTTGAAGCATACAAAGTATAAAATATAATCTCCAGTAAAATAAACTAACATTATAACTACCAAGAACAAGCCATGGCATTCACCACAACAACCATCAGT